TGTGAAGCAAAGAAAAACTTCCCATGTGTAATCAGCAAAGAATAAATAAATAAATAATTGAATCGAATTTATGAAACATTCGCAGTCAATTACAGTCACGAAATCATGTCGCGATCCGCTTGAAGTCATCGATTTAATTTCTTCCCGAAATCACTTAAATCAACCTTGACAACCCGTGAAGTCGACTTCATTTCGAATTCATTTTAAAAACGAGTTATTTTTTGGCGAATATTGAGAGTAAAAACCTGAATGAACACAAAGATTTCATCCCCAGCAGAAGATGGAGTCAAAGTAGTGGCTCGCTGGAAGTCAGTTGGAAAGAAAAATAGAAAAGCTATAGCTGGATAGAAAGTAAAAGGAACTTCGGGGGGCTAGATAAATAAGAAAGACTCCTCCGAGAGCACAGAACTACAGTAGATGGAAGAGGAAAGTTTTTGCAATTTACCGTTTGCCGCGTACATTATTCGGAAATTCACTATTGGAGAAGAAAGTTACCGCAAAGAAGATGAATAAATTATAATATTACCTCCGGACGAGCTAATTTACCAATGAGCTTTTTCAAAATCCCGAAACTCGAGTCTCCCCCCAACCCCTTCTCATCATCCTCCTCAACCTCCACTTTCTTACCCAACTCTGTAACCTCCCTCAGCCCCTCATGCTCTGGAAGTTGTTCAAATAGTCGGAGCTAATTCTGTTTGGCCTGTTTGTCTCAAATGTTTCAGCCCTCGGGTGTCGTATATTAATAACTACAGCAATATGCGTCCTGGGACCAAACTTACGGCGTTAGTTACGTTCATTATCATTTTGCAACTTGAATTTTTAAAATATGAAAGAGATATTCATTCTGCGAGATAACAAAATCATAATTCATCATTTTTTGTTGTAAATCTCTTGAAATAGGAAAAATGAAGCCGAAAGGAGCGAAAGATTCAATTATGCAGAGAATTTTTAATTACAAAATGTTTTTTAAAAAACGAATATTTTTTAATTAATTAATTAATTAATTAATGAGAAAGTGTTAATTTTTTTTAATTTATGGGTAATTTGAGGATATTTCGACACCACTAGATTCGCCCACGAAACTGGCAGAATATTCGACAGCGGAAAAATTAATTAAGGAATTTTTTTGAGGTTTTAAGGAACTTCCGCAGAAAGTATATGGGAGCAGAAGGAAATGGACTGCAGAACTGAAATTTTGAGAATATATTCTTTGAGTGATTACAAATGTCCTCCCGAAGTCCCAAAACGCTGAACGCTGAGAAAATATGAAAAATGTGTCATTAACACAGAGTCTTATGGCACGATTTTTTCAAAAATCACAAAAAAATAATCGACAATGGAATAAAAATCCAAACGCTTCACGAATAGAACCGTATATATTTCAGGAACATATCCCCACAATTTCATTAGCTGTCACCACAGGGATTATTTATAATTATTGAAAATGTGTGGCATAGTTTGGGATTTTAGTTACGTTAGAGTAAACTAATGGCTGAACATGGCAACGTTGAGGGAGGTTAGAGTGAGCGCGACGGAGGCCATCGTGTGAACTCAGCCAAAGCATATACTATAGATTCTATAGTACAGTATAGGATTTTATCGGGGCACAAGAGTACCAACTGCGTCGAACAAAAACGCGTGGTTGTCAAATCTCTCATGATAATTTTTATTAGTTAAAAAATTCGGATAAATAATATTTTGGAATAAAAATCACTTTGAATTGATTAATCATGAATAATAAGTGTAAAGAAACCCAAACGACGAATTTTGAATACACCGGTCAACTTTTCGTCATTTCATCATTTTTTTTTTCAAACGATGCAACGGAGTGTCGGAGCCTTTGATATTTTCCCCCACTCCATAGCCCCAAAATTTACTGCGGAAGTTCCTTAAAGGTCAAACAATCATATGCGTAAACTTTTTTCGAGTGCGAATGAGTTGGCACATGACTCAGAAATCCTTATAGACCCTTAAATTTACCTGAATCGAATCTTCCGCTAATTTCAGTTTCATTTGAGAGCAGTTAGAGTGTACATGTTATACATGTTACACAATGACTCGACACTCCAATATTTGTACATCTCTCTTCCATGACCTGCAATTGTTGTTTTTTCTAGTTGATTACGCGTGCGTACTCCCCTTCAAAGGTGCAAATAGTTTCTTACGGTTTCTCAGAAAGTTCTGGCATCTATATACACAACGGCCAAGTCAACACGTACCTCAAGTACTTTGAAGATCACCGAATAGTCATTAGCATTGCTGTGCAAATGAACTAATGGAATTCAATTTCGTAATAGGTTCGACATCCTGAGTGACAGTGGAGTTTTAATAGCTGTATGAGATGAAATTTATGATTATTCTTGAGAACTTCCCTTTGCACGGAGAAAATAAAATGGTAAAGATTACTATGGCGCATAGTAAGCGCCTCAATGGTAATAGGCACTATGGAGAGCAAAGATTTCCATGTTCATCGAGACCGAGATCATCTCTCTAAAGTTTTGTCTCGTAAAGTGTCTCGCGATATCCCTAGGGGTCGCTACTGCGTATTCCGAGACTGAGACGAGAGGAAAGATTTCCATGTTCATCGAGACCGAGATCATCTCTCTAAAGGTTTGTCTCGTAAAGTGTCTCGCGATATCCCTAGGAGTCGCTACTGCGTATTCCGAGACTGAGACGAGAGGAAAGATTTCCATGTTCATCGAGACCGAGATCATCTCTCTAAAGGTTTGTCTCGTAAAGTGTCTCGCGATATCCCTAGGAGTCAATACTCCGTATTTCGAGACTGAGACGAGAGCAAAGATTTCCATGTTCAACGAGACCGAGATCATCTCTCTAAAGTTTTGTCTCGTAAAGTGTCTCGCGACATCCCTAGGAGTCAATACTGCGTATTTCGAGACTGAGACGAGAGCAAAGATTTCCATGTTCATCGAGACCGAGATCATCTCTCTAAAGTTTTGTCTCGTAAAGTGTCTCGCGACATCCCTATGAGTCAATACTGCGTATTTCGAGACTGAGACGAGAGCAAAGATTTCCATGTTCATCGAGACCGAGATCATCTCTCTAAAGTTTTGTCTCGTAAACTGTCTCGTGGCATCACTAGTTCAGTCTTCCCCAGACACCAAAACACCTCGACTGAGCGTTGCATTCGACTCTGTCAAAAAATGCATTCACTAAATCAACCCACCAAAAGTTGCGAAAACTGTAGTAAAATGCAATAAGAGAAACCACAAACGACAGAGTTGGATTCCATTCCTATACTCAAAATGTCCAAGGGGATTCTCTAATTTGTCCGTTCGAGAAAAAGCAATTTGTTAGCCTCGGAGGAACGACTCTTGTGGCATGCCCCTACCGGTGAAGAGAGAAGGCGAAGTTGAAGGAGGCAATGGATGGGTTGGAAGGAGGTGACGGTATAAAAGGGAAAGACAGCGGGGGGAGAGGGAGAGAAGGAGAGAGAGAGAGAGAGAGAGAGAGAGAGAGAGAGAGAGAGAGAGAGAG